AGAGAGAGAGAGAGAGAGAGAGAGAGAGAGAGAGAGAGAGAGAGAGAGAGAGAGAGAGGCATGCTCAATCGAGCGATGTATATGGAGCCAAGGATCCACAAAGTGATGAAAAGGACTCAAATGGACAATGCCATGTACATCCAGATACATATGAAAATAGCACAATGTAGCGCACCGGAAGACTCAAGGATATGACCAGACCTGTCAGATACTGGCACGGCACCCCATCACACACCACACATGTGAGAGAGACTGGAGGGACCACATACACAGACGAAAGGTCCCTCCTTGATCACACACATGAGGAGATACTACGGATGAGGAGATGGGGGAGGAGGCGAGGCGAAGATGGAGATGAGGGAGAAGAACAAGATTGGGATAGTTAAGTCCAGAAATAGTGTGGCATACTGCGTAGCCACACGGGCCCTGCAGGGCCCATCCCGCACTTTCAGCCTAAAAGCCTAGAAAATAGGGCTTACAGGCCCCCTGTCGTTTCAGCCTGAAACTGAAAACGAGGGCCTGCAGGCCCTATCTCGTTTTCAGCCTATATCAGGGCTTTTCAGCCCTGAGGCTTTCAGCCTGAAACGGAGAGCCACTTCCGGGCCCTCATAAGATCGACCTACCCTAAACCTCAGGCACAAAACCAGGGTTTTCGGAACAGGCTATCTTTAGCCTATTCCCTCGACTGCCTCAAGCAGGAGCTGCAGCGGCAGCCCCTGACTCCCTGCAGCATTGGCAAGAGCAGCCTCCTGGACTGCCTCGCCCTGCAGTCAGGAGTCAGGCCGAGTAGTACAGAGGACCTTCCCATGCACTTCACGGTAGGCAGTAGGTAGGTAGTTAGACAGTAGTCAGGGTAGTCTTCAGGATAGCGGAGCAGCACTCAGAGCTGCTCAAGGGCAGCTTAGCGCTAGGTAGTCTTCGGCGCTGGGCGCCATAGCTGTAGTCTTCAGCGCTGGGCGCTATAGTAGTAGTGATATAGGAGAGAGATACTGGCGGAGGCCAGTGGTACTTACCTGTGGCGCCATCGCTCTAGCTCCATCTTCGTGGTACCTGCATGAAGGCGCCAGCTTTACAGGTTAGTACTGGACTGAGAGAAAGAGAGAGTTCTTCTTCCTCCTCTTCTCAGTCCACCATCTCTTCTTCCCCTCTCGCTGCCTACTTCTCAGTATCTGTGAGATACGACCTGAGACTTGACGACATTGGATCCAGACTTGACATTTGGGATCAGACATTTTGACGAGGGACTATTTGGGCATGTGCCGAAGACTTGGTGTTGACAACATTCCCATCTTCCCCTCCTCTTCGTCTAACCCCCCTCCTCATTCGTCTGTGTATGGTTGGGGCTGGTGCAGTCTTCCTGTGTGAAGCGCCAGACCCCCTTCACACCATGATATGATGATGATGATGTATGTTCAGGGCTGCATTGCAATAATGATTGTTCGGATCACTGGTATCTAAATCTTCCGCTACGCCATCTTATACTTTGCATTGAGAGGTCGGTTCTTGTTCTGTCTTGCACGATACAGTATGCAACAATAGTCTCCCTGCCGAATGTCCAATCAATGTCTGCCACAAAATGTAGAATCGGATTGGGGGCTTCATAGCCCGATGTAACCTCCGCCAGTAACCTCTCTCTCTCTCTCTCTCTCTCTCTCTCTCTCTCTCTCTGAAAGAAGAAGAAGAAGAGGGAGTAAGGAGGACCGGATGAAGGAGAAGAAGAGGTCGTCCTCCTCACGGTCTCACCTGCAGGTACTGCCGTTGGCGCTGCTGTGCTGCAGGTCGCTGGTGTGGAGTGTGGCTATGGCGCCCAGATACGTGTCTCGCGGTCGCAGGTATGGCCTCCTCCCTTCTCCCTACCTACACCTCTACCTCCTAGCGCAGCACTGTATCGCGCGGCTCCAGCAACTTGTCGACCAAGAAGTGAGATACTTGAACTGTCTGTCTGCCCTGGCCTGGCCCAGCTGTAAGTAGCGCTGGGCCTCGCTGGTGTGCCTCTGGTCCTGGCCTGAAAAGGCCTGCCTGGGTCCCTACCGGACATCCAGGCCCTCCCTCCTGATGCAGCAGGGAGCGTCCGCCACTGGGCAAACACGAACCTTGCCTGAAAGGGCCTGACTGCGAACGAAGAAGGCCCAAAATGTGGCCTTTGTCCGAACAGACTGAAAGTCTGTTCGGACGAACTGCAAGTCCGAAACGATGCCTGAACAGCCAAAAATAGGACAGCAAATAAAAAATTAAATAAATGCTGCCTCAAATCGAATCCTAAGGCTGGCCGTGGGCATCCAGGGCGCATGCCTGAATGGCGTGCGGCCTGGACCGTCGGGCCCCTGAAACGGGGCCCATGTGAGAGAGAGAGAGAGAGAGAGAGAGAGAGAGAGAGAGAGAGAGAGAGAGAGAGAGAGAGAGAGAGAGAGAGAGAGAGAGAGAGAGNAGGCAAAGGGAGAGAGAGAGAGAGAGAGAGAGAGAGAGAGAGAGAGAGAGAGAGAGAGAGAGAGAGAGAGAGAGAGAGAGAGAGAGAGAGAGAGTTCCTAAGCCGCTGCACACCCCACCCATAACGGCCGAAAACTCTGTTCTAAAAAACGAATCCAGGGGTTCAGGGCATCCCTCAGCAGTCCCGATGCCAGTTCCATGAGGGACTGGCAAGATCAGTCTCCCTGGACTGGTAAGCGACTGCCAACCAGTAGGCTGCACAACATATGCTAGTGACTAAAACACAACCAGGGGAAAGAGGGGGCACTAGAAAGAGGTTAGAAACTGGGGAAAGAGGGGGCACTAGGAAAGGGAAGAAATATGAAGGCAGCATGGGAGATTATAGATTGACCAACAGCTCACCTCAAGATTTTCAATCGAAGGGATTCCGTTCACAGGTGCACCTTGCTTAGCGATGACAGACAACATATGATCCCTGCGAGATGACACAGAATCAAGTGCACAAACGTCATTTCATAGAGATGAGTACTGCAAGAGATCAATCACAAGAACATAGCAGCATTCCTCAGACAAAACACAATCCCGCGAGCAGTGTACATTAACACCCCCAGACTCCCGATTCAGTTCACCCCACACGAGCCCTAACAGCCCTCGCTGAGCTGGATGAACGAAAGCCCTGAAAGAATTAAATTCTGCGGCAACGGATTGTATCAATCAGTATTTCCTCATTCACGTCATCTTAGAAACACATCCTGCATGCAAGCAAGCAGAATAACAGTGGTGTCAGTGTGTGTCCAGAAGCTGCGCAGCGCAAACGAATTCCAAAGTCTTGTTTCCCCCACGACCCACCAATTCGTGGACTAGCGTGTCCGCTACTCACGAATTTGATCCTGGAGGCTTTCACTCGAGCATCACATAAACCACAAAAGGAACAAGCCATGCTTCTGGGAGAGAGCAAGAACCTGCTTAACCTGACGGAGAGAGCAAGAACCGGACGGGCATAAGTGGCTTTCAGGCAGCAATCATAAAAAGTAGTGCAGACAGTCGCATCTCGATGGAAATTTGGAAAACCATATGGTTCTGCAAAGGATAGAGAGAGAATCTGACCACCAGAAAAGGGAACCGCTGCACAGGCCGCCACAAAGTTCCTCCGGGAAGTTTGGACGTGGTGACGTGGTCCCTAGTGGTTTATACGACACCCTCAATTATTTTCCTCATTTTCAATCAGGTCTTGCCAGCATATGCTTTCATTTCGCACTTCAAAAATACTTCACAAAGTTACACATGCAGAGATTACTGATACGTGCTTTCAGGCTTCAGGCCTCGTCGCTCACGCACGGCCTAAAACCGGAACCCTCAACCACAGGAACCAAGTCTCTTAACCACTAGCCCCAACGTGGTGTTCAAAAGTGGAATCGTACCGGTCCTGATGTCCACATGACAATCCGCACACACACAGTTCCATCGGCACACGACCCACCACCGCTACTTAATCCGGTCACACACACGGGCCAGCCAGGGGTTCCACAGGCACCTTCACATGCAAACACAGAGAGAGAGAGAGAGAGAAAGAGAGAGAGAGAGAGAGAAACGGGGAGAGAGAGAAACGGGGAGAGAGAGAAACGGGGAGAGAGAGAGCGAGAGAGCGAGAGAGAGAGAGAGAGAGAGAGAGAGAGAGAGAGAGAGAGAGAGAGAGAGAGAGAGAGAGAGAGAGAGAGAGAGAGAGAGAGACTTACTTGCCCCAATCAGCAGGAGGATTCCAAGGTGCCAAGACACTGTGGAATTTTGGATTGGGTAAGAGGTTCTTGATCTTGAACTCCCTTGTTGTGAATGATGTCTCTGTCTCGTGCTTGTCATTAACACCTCGAACAAGATCCAGCACCTGTGTAACGCACAAAAGAAAAATGGGATCACAAGCTCAAAACCACCATATCCACATCTGCTTCTCACAGTAAAAGTCATGGCAACTGAAAGAGGTGTTCCATCATGACACCATTGTCACATCACATTTGTGCCCTGATTTATCCCTGCCGACAAGGAACTACCAGCCTCCGTTGAATGCAGGTCTGGGCTGGCACTTCCTCAACCAGGAATGCAGTTTCGAAAAGACTCTTCACCAGTCCCTTTTCTTGCATCTCCCCCTCTCTAAAACAAACCATGAAAAAAAAAAACCATAGCCTTACGACTCTGGCTCTCATACTCTGGGCAGAGCAGTTCGAATTGACTGGTCCTCTGTGCACTGGCTCCTCAAATAAAGGAATCCGACCCGGACATGCTTCTGCCCATTGCTGCCGACAGATCTCTGAACCTTCGATAATATGATCATTGTCGTCTGTCAATTGTTGTCCAAGCAGCAACTCTACTGCCTCATTTAGGATCTTCATCACTTCCAAACTCCTGTCTCTTGTCATGAAAGCTTTTACACTACACTTGGGAAGGATCACCCTTTGGAGAAGTACCTTTCTGTGGCAGGCATTAACACACGAGGAATGCCCTTCGATGTGAGGCTACTCTGACAAGATGACCGCAAGTTTAGCTAGTGCAATACTTGCTGCAGGAGGCAACATAGTGACTTGGTTATGGGGAGGCTTCGCGAGTGATAACGCAACCTTAGTGTGACTCGTTGACCTACGCAATCCAATTTAAAACTTAAAAGACGTGCTTCCTATTAACATCATAACAAAGAAACTAATGGCGCTTGACAAGAGTCCATCCGAGTCTTCCCTCGCCTACTCACTTTGACCTAGATAGCATCATTTTATTTATTTTTATTTTTTTTAAAAGAATCCTGGCCCACCTATTCTGGGGGGCACCAGTCCGGTTACTTGTTACCGGCAAGCACCTGGGACGCGCACAATGGGCAACTGGGTACATACGTATGTTTCCCGGATATTACGGGCGCCTCGGGGCAGGGGTAGCGTATGGTTCCCATGCCAACGCCCCCCTTAGTCCCTCCCACAGCGGCTTGAGCTGCGGGGGTAACTGGTCCTCGCTTCTTTCTTCATTTCATGCGCGTAGATAGCATCACACCGACATTCCTATGCGTGCACCTGAGGCTCTCCGCGGCGCTGACTTCTCTTCACCTTTCCTCTACTTTGGCCTTTGACAAGGTCCACACAAGTCTTCCGTCGCCTGCTCACTTTGACTTATAGCGCCTAGTCCGTTGCCTCGTTGCACGGTGTCCATCTCATTCCATTCATCCTCTTCGATTTATGTACGTACTAATGAGTGTGCAGTCCTACCGGCTTGCCGCCTTCGCCTCGTGGTCTATCCTGATGCGCCCTCTTCCTCTCTATGCTTTCCTTATCTTTCTTTCATTCCTGAATTTGGAGCATAACTTCGACCAGGTGTGTCGAAGGGGCACACAACTTGGAAAGTTGGCACACTGTGAGCTTGCACAACGATCAGGCTGACTTGTAACAGCCCCCGTCCCCTCCCCCCCCCCCCCGCCCCACCAACTCCCTATCTTGAACTCGTACATGCTTGCCGCAATTGCCGGTGATAAGCAAACAGACTGTCGCCCCCCAGAATAGATGGGGCATCACGATTCAAAAAAAAAAAGAAAAAAAGAAGACTTGTAACAAGAAAGGCCCAGTTATTGACAATGGTCAAAAAGAAAAAAAAAAAGTTCCAAAAGACCCAGTAAGTACCCTAATCTTTTTTTTTTCCTTGGGTAAATGGAAGTTGATCAGACTGACAGTACTTACGGACCATGCTCTCGATACTAGCTTCCGCAAATGGCTTTCTGTCGCAGATCAAGCTCCAGGTTGCCTTGTCGATGATCCACGAGATGTGCAGCATCTTTGCAGTTTGCGTATTCTTCGCTTCATGGTGTGTTGCCGTCTTCAAGGAGAGGCTCACCGCATTTCTTGCAAATTTTCGCATTTGGCGCTTGCCATTCAACTTCTTCTCAAGCAGTTTGACCTGGGAAAAAGGAAAAAAAAAAAAAACAATTTCCACAGCATGGCCCAACACGATCAGCCCAACTGATACGTACTGGGTTTGGCAAGCACATTCGCCAATGACTGAAATATCTGTTTGGCTTCCGCAAACACATCTGTCTGAGACTCTTAGTGTGACACACTGACACCAATTGGATCACCCCACTTACACATCCGCTGGTTCCATTACACCACCAGTCACCCAGTCAGCGACCCCGCACACACCCGCTAGATTACCAGCTGCCGGCAAAAAGGTTTGCCCCGTGGCACAATCGAAAAAAGAGCCGCCGAGGTAACAGACGGTTTAAACCACCAGTACCTCCACGCTCCATTCTCCTGATGCTTGATTCTGCCCACCCCTACACTACGGAAATGTTCTCCGGGCTCAGACCTGGAAGATGCAGCCATACGCAACACATTTGCAGCAGAAGTTTTGAATTAATTTTCTCATACACAGCAGCATGAACCCTACATCCACAAATTTGATTCATTGAATGACATGAGCGTGAGAAAAGTAGGGGCTCAAATTCTTCTACCCTCCTCCCAGGGCACCCCCCAGGCCCCAGCAGGCCAAACCTTGCAGTAGCCCCTTGTTAGTCGGTACAGTGCCACAGGTAGCAGCGTGGGTACAGGTGGCTTTAAAACACCAGTGCATGCCATACGTCAGCCGCGGGCCCCTTTGCGAGGCCGCCGCCCGCCACCGATGTATTTTATCAACGGTGCGCGATTCTATAAAATTTTACAACAGGATCAATCTGATGCCTCCAAAATTTTTGAACACGATCGATCGGGTTCTCAACTTGGCTGGGGCCGTGTACTGGTGGTTTAGGAGTACCAGCCAATCATCATGGTTTCGAGATTGCAAGCCAATCTCCCAGGTTATTTGACATATCTTACGAACCATCTTGTTTTTCGTGTTAGTGTAACAGATGAGCTGTGTGGGGCCATGTGGACCCTTTTTCTCTTTTTTGAAGTTTCTTCCCCACGAAGGGGGTTATAGCACCGAACAAAATTGTCTTCACCAAGACTTGAACTCTGGGTCAGTTTAATGGCAGTTGGGTGTGTGTACCTTTCAACCCCTCCAGGGCAAGGTCACTCATTTTCTTGATGCGGAAACATGTGTACCACTTCACAGGAAGTATAAGACACTTACCTGATGACCTGTTGCCAGACGATGGGTGGTGTGTTTGTCGTGATGGGAAAGGGGGGGGAGGGCGTCACCTATTTATTCATTGACCACTCTTGGTGGATGACAGTCTACTCATCTGTTAATTTTCCCATCAAACAAGGAGAGGGAGGGGGAGAGAAAAACAGACAGTGGTACACAATGGATCCATGGAGAGACGGGGGGAACAGATGGGGAGGGAGAAGGTGGTGGGGAAAACGGGAGTCTGCTTTGGTTGTTCCGGCCATTGGAGCAGGAAAGGTTAGGTGCAATGGCAAACCAACAGGAAACCTCTCTCCCTCTCTCTCTCTCTCTCTCTCTCTCTCACACACACACACACACACACACACAGACGAAAGGAAAATAATGGAGGACAAACTCTCTCTCTCTCTCTCTCTCTCTCTCTCTCTCTCTCTCTCTCTCTCTCTCTCTNCACACACACACACACACACACACACACACACACACACACAGAGGAAAGGAGAATAATGGAGGCCAAGAAGAAAAGAAAAAAAAATTAATCGAAACAGGGCCTGAAGGCCCGTGGACCCTACAAAACAGAAAGACTCTCTCTCTCTCTCTCTCTCTCTCTCTCTCTCACACACACACAAAAAAAAAAAAAAAAAAAAAAAAAAAAAAAAAAAGAACAATAGACAGGACAGTCTTTATTGGCCCTCTGACATGGAATGACAGACAAAAGGACAAAATGAATGAAAAGGGCATAGTCACTGTCATGAAAGGGTCCAGATCGGACTATGTCGTCAAGAGTCTGAAAAGAACCCATTTACAATGCACACAGTGCAAGAATGGCCATCTTCTTCTGTCTCTTGTCCGTCACTTCATCTCATATGGATGTTAAGAACAGCGCTCTCTATCGCTCTGACGAACGTGTGTGTGTGTGTATGTGTGTGTGTGTGAGAGAGAGCAAGACAGGAAAGAAGGGCGCCTTTGCAGACCCATGTTCTGAACGGACGACCTCAGAATACAGATCAGCTTCATCACCTGCATGATCAGTCTCAGCATGCCCCTTTTTCTTTCCTTCCTTCGGAGTGACGCAGACAGCCATTTCCACATCTCTCTCACAGCTTGAAGGCCTTGGCTCCTATGCCTCCCACTGCCTCTCCCTCACCACAGTGGATCTCCTCTGTCACTCGCGAAAGATCCAGGTGGGGCATCACCCACTCCTCTACGTTTCTTTTAGTTCCTTGCTTTTGTTGTAAGTTCCTTCCCACTCCTCTACGTTTCTTTTAGGTCCTGGTCTGTTAAGTAACTCGTAGTTAATCTGCAATGACGACCCCTGCGGTCTTCACCTGAATAGAATGCGCAGTCATTATAGCTGTATTTGCGGCAACTTGCAGTCCGGATGCAGCGATAATGTTGGGGTGTTCTATTCCGATGGAGACAATGCCCTGCAGATCTCTGCAGCTATGTCTCTGACTTCATTATCGTTGAGGGTGTGTTTGCTGCTACAATCATACGTTCCCAAATTCCCCACCTCCCCATCTTGCACTGTGTTTTTGAAACTAAAACACAACTTAAATTCCGGCGACTTAGAGAATCATGTCGCTCAGCCACTACATAATAGAGTTCGTTATCCTCATTCGTTCCGACGTTATCTCTCGAGCCGGCCTCGAAGGTGCGAGCCTCCTGTTGCTCGGTTTGACCAAGTGCTTGGTTTCGAGGTCCAAATCCATCGATTTAGGCTCCTTCCTCTCTGCCCGTAAGTGCAAAGTGTATTCGAATATGCCCGCCGTTCAAATAGAACGCGACACGTGTTATGTTTGGGGGAAGACGGTAGTGAGAGTGCGCTGTTAATTTACTGCTGCCTGATGTCTGCAATGTATTGATTGAGGCCTGGCCACTTCAGCACGCCCCTGATCAAAGGGAGGGGAGGAGGACAACATGGAGCCAGTGTGCAAACAACTGCCTTCTTACCAGTTCTTCATATGCACCCGCTTCACCGCATCCCAGCTCTGCGGCTCGCCGTCGAAGGATGCAGAAGTCGTTCATAAGCATACGACACTCCCTTTCAATTTCTTCCAGATTAAGCCGCAGCTTCTCCACCTTTGCCAAATCCACATCGGCGTAGTCTTCTTCGTTAAATTCCATCAGCTCGTCCAAGTCATCACCATCTCGGCGATGTGCACGCAATCCAATCTTCGTTGTCCTGAGAAAATAACAGGAGAGTTTTCCAGATTGAGCTCATCAGACCATGACACAGATGCAACCGTCTGCCTCAACCACCTGAAAAGACAGAGCTACACAGCAGACTACCAGCATGGAACGAGGCCATAAACAAAACGCGCACTTTGCGAGACAAACGATAAACATGTGCAAGGCTATGGCCTTTGTCTTTTGTGCATTGGTGAGTGGTGGATCGAGGCCCCAGATATAGGTATGGAGGTCGGGGCTGCGACCAGCATATACACGTTACCATTATTTCAGAAAATAAGAAAAGAAAAGAAAAGAAAAGAAAAGTGGCCACACTGACCCGGACGCACACAGCATCCAGACAGGACCCAGACATCAGTCAGACGCCTCGGTCAAAACCCGTACCTGGGAAATGGCCCAAAAGTTGCCACACATTTTTCTTCTTTGTTTTTTTTCCCTTTCCTTTCCTTTTCATTAAGCGCCCGGTGCCCAAGGCCAGAAAAACAACATAAGGAAGAAGAAAAAGAAAACAGTGCAAAATCTATCACAATTTCAGAAATGATAAAAAGTGATGCCAACATCACAAAGCAACAGTTTTTCTTCACGGTTCTGCGAAAATTCTTTTGACAAATTTGAAATTTAGAGTTTAAAAATTTTCAAAAGCAGAGTTCGTTCAGGGACAGCACCCACACTCTGGTATTACGACAGTGGTCTCTGGAAAGCCAGGATGTCCCTCCGGAAGTCTGGAGACCCCACAGTGGTCTCTGGAAAGCCAGGATGTCCCTCCGGAAGTCTGGAGACCCCACAGTCCGGAGGCCCCTCCGGAAGTCCGGAGACTTTTGTCTAGTGCTTCAAACCATCAAAAGCAGCAGCATAATTTTCTGACTGCTTACCCAGACACCAGACGGGACCGGACTGGGCCAGGACTTAGGGTTGCCCTAAGAAGCAAAAAATTCTTTTGGTTACGACTTATTCTCCTCGAATCCGGCTGTGAATTTCAGAAGGACCCTCAGCGACGAGTTCTTTGAATCTTTCCATTTCCATGCTGCGCAGCACTCTGGACCATTTCACGACTTCTGTGTGTCATCGTTGTGCCGGGGCCATGCTAATCTTCTCTGTATCGTTCCAATTTCACTGGATGTCCCGAGGGACAGGTGCACAACATTCTTTTTCTCATATTGCTCTGAATTTTTTATTGAAAAGTCCTCGTCTGAAAAAAATAAAAATAAAAATAAAAAAAATACATATATACTGGGCTGATTTCCCGGGCGCCCGGGGTCCCAGACCACGCCCGGAATGGCGCCCGGGTGCCCGGCCGGGCATGAGTCCCGGGCAGGCCCCCGGGCGCTCTCCACGGCATAAAATCGAAAAAAGGTGCTGGGGGGGGCCTGGGGCACAGTGGGGGATGGGAGGACCCTCCTAAGCGGGGGAAAAAAATCGCGCCGAGGCCCTACCAGTCCCAAGACAAAAAAAAAAGAAGGGTGATTTCAAGCCCTTGATCTGCAAGATCGAGGGCTTGAAACCACCCTGCTTTTTTCCCAAGGGTCGCCGCGTGGATTTCGTTTTGAATCCGAACGCGAAATCACGCGGCGATTCTTGGCTCGTCCGCTGCTGCCCGTCGACACTGCCCGTCGACACTGCCGAAGGTGCCCGTCCGCTGCTGCCCGTCGACACTGCCGAAGGTGCCCGTCCGCTGCTGCCCGTCGCATGCTGCCCATCGACTGCTGCCCGTCGCCATCGCCCATCGGCTGCTCCCCATCGCCCTTGCCCGTAGACTGCTGACCGTGCCTGCTGCCCCTCGCCATCGCCAGGTAAGCTGGTGGGCATCGCCCTGTTGGACGAGTCTCCACCGCCTCTTCCTCCTTCTTCTTCTTCTTCTTCAATGCGGCAAAACAGACACACACACACACACACACACATACACACACACACACACACACACACACAATCTCCTCCTCCTCCTCCTCCTCCTCCTCTTCTTCTTTTTCTTCTTCTTCTTCTTCTTGGGGCTTTCCCCCCCCCCCCCTATCCGACGAAGCAAAAGGTCGCCCCATCGTGACACACAGACAAGGCCGCGACGTGGCAAAACACACACACACACACACACACACACACACACACAATCTCCTCCTCCTACTCCTCTTCGTCTTCTTCTTCTTCTTCTTCTTCTTGGGGCTTTCCTCCCCCCCCCTCTCCGACGAAGCAAAAGGTCACCCCATCGCGACACACAGACAAGGCCGCAACGCGGCAAAACACACGCACACACACACACCCATCCATCCATCCATCGCCAGCGGCTTTTTTTTTTTTTGGTTCTCCGACTGTCTTCTTCCACTTCCTCCTCGCCATCCTGCACCTCGTCATCCTCCCCCCCCCCCCCCCCTTCTCCTCCTCCTCCTCCTCCTCCTCCTCATCTACTTCTTCTTTTTCTTCTTTTTCTTCCTCTTCTTCTTCGTTTTCTCCTTCTTCTTCTCCTCCTTTCACGTCCTCTTCCTTCTAGCCATCCTCCACCTCCACCTCCTCCTCCTCCTCCTCCTTTATTCCTTGTCCACCACGGCTAGAATTTTTTGTTTCTCCTTCATCTTCCGTGCGCTTCCTCCTCGCCATCCTGTGCCTCCTCCGCCTCCTCCTCCTCCTCGTCCTCCTCTTCTTCTTCTTCTTCTTCTTCTTCTTCTTCTTCTTCTTCTTCTTCTTCTTCTTCTTCTTCTTCTTCCTCTTCTTCTTCTTCTTCTTCTTCACCTTCTTCACACCAGGTCCTCCTCTTTGCACGACATGGCTTCCTCAAGTCGTCCTCCAGGCAGCATTGGTGCACCTGGCAGTGATGGAGGCGAGGGCGGCAAGGGCAAAGGCTCCAGCAAGGGCAAACGAAAGGTCGCCGACAAGCCTCCGTTTGAGCCTGCATCTGAGTCCAAGCAGATGGAGTTAGAAAGAACGAAAGATGCATACAAGTGGGTGCTGCGCGGACAGGAGGCAGATCCTAAAGGCTACGGTTACTACTGGCACAAATGCAAGATGTGTGGCAGGGTCTGGTCCGGGTCTTACACGCGTGTTTTGGTACATTTCACGGCGAAAAGGGACCCATGTCCTGGTCGAACGGGAGAGATCCTGCACGCCATACCCAGCAAGGGGGCAAAGATAGACTGCCCCCTTACTAACAGATTGGTCCAGCTGTACCGCCTTGAAAACAAAATCACGGTGGGCGTTGATCAAACC